ACTAATGTAAAATAAATAATAAAAGGAATTATAATTAATTTTCATATTTTCATATACATATGTGAAACAGTACAGCTATCTGACGATAAAACATGGTAACTTGGACCATTGAACATATATACAGAGGACCAGAGAACTTTGAATCTGAACATCTGAATAGGGAGTACACTCACTGTGCTTGTCTTCTAAAAAGATTCAAAAGATCAGTAGCCGCAGGCCGCAAGGCCGCAGTAGCCTGATAGCCAGTAAGAGTGCGAGTCAGTGTGTGTGTGAAAATTCGAAGCAATGGCGACTCGTCTGCTTAAAGTTAGTTCCGTGTTGCGGACTTATTCTAATAAAACCAGCCTTGTAAAGGTAATAAGAACGATGTTTTGTTTTACTACTAAGGGGTACCAAAACATTTTTTATCGGATTTAGATTCAAATAAACAGGAATCTCGAAAGATTCCTTACTCCATTTACTCCTTACGTAATAAGAATACGTCTTTCGAATCTATACAATAGAAGAGACATAATGAATTATTATTAATCAAGAACAAATAAAATGCTATTTATTTGATACTACAATATTACAGATGAAACTACTTGTGTCGTGTTATCATAACCTTATTTTATAGGTCATCTCGTACAGTAGTTCTGCCAGAATATTTAAAGTTTGACAGATGTCGTGTTTTTCTTAAATTATTTTAATACATTAAGTGTAGTTTCAGCAGCATTGTAAATTATATAATTATTATTTAATCTTTCATTTCTTTGTCAAGTATTGATATTTTTATATAATTTAAATGTAATTAGGTACAAAAACAATGGCAATCCACATCAGCATCTTTAAAAGAATTGCTGATGAATCAACCAGCAACACAAGTAACAACTTTGGATTGTGGTATGAGAATTGCCACTGAAGATAGTGGAGCCCCAACAGCTACAGTGGGCCTATGGATTGATGCAGGTAGTCGCTTTGAAAGTGATGAAAACAATGGAGTTGCTCATTTCATGGAGCACATGGCTTTCAAAGTATGTTCTACTCTTCACATTAAATTCAAATAAAATATTAGAAACAATGATTAAATTGAGAAATATTAACAGGGAACTACTAAACGTTCACAAACTGATTTAGAATTAGAAATTGAAAACATGGGTGCTCATTTGAATGCTTACACAAGCAGGGAACAGACAGTGTTTTATGCAAAATGCTTGTCAGAAGATGTACCAAAAGCCATTGAAATTTTAAGTGACATCATTCAGAACTCAAAGCTTGGCGAGAGCGAAATTGAAAGAGAACGTGGTGTTATTTTAAGAGAAATGCAGGAAGTTGAAACTATTTAAATGTAATTAGGTACAAAAACAATGGCAATCCACATCAGCATCTTTAAAAGAATTGCTGATGAATCAACCAGCAACACAAGTAACAACTTTGGATTGTGGTATGAGAATTGCCACTGAAGATAGTGGAGCCCCAACAGCTACAGTGGGCCTATGGATTGATGCAGGTAGTCGCTTTGAAAGTGATGAAAACAATGGAGTTGCTCATTTCATGGAGCACATGGCTTTCAAAGTATGTTCTACTCTTCACATTAAATTCAAATAAAATATTAGAAACAATGATTAAATTGAGAAATATTAACAGGGAACTACTAAACGTTCACAAACTGATTTAGAATTAGAAATTGAAAACATGGGTGCTCATTTGAATGCTTACACAAGCAGGGAACAGACAGTGTTTTATGCAAAATGCTTGTCAGAAGATGTACCAAAAGCCATTGAAATTTTAAGTGACATCATTCAGAACTCAAAGCTTGGCGAGAGCGAAATTGAAAGAGAACGTGGTGTTATTTTAAGAGAAATGCAGGAAGTTGAAACAAATCTGCAAGAAGTTGTTTTTGATCACCTGCATGCTAGTGCATATCAGGGTACACCATTGGGAAGGACGATTCTTGGTCCTACTAAAAACATCAAGAGCATTACGAGAAACGATCTTCTTGATTATGTGAAAACATTCTATGGTCCACCTAGGTATGCAATTATGTTATAAAAATCTAAAGTCAACCAAATAACAAAATGAGGTCAAAGGTAGACTAAGGTTATTATGCTTATATGTCTAAAAGTTGGTGTATTCTTTCTTTTTTAGATTTGTTTTAGCTGGTGCAGGTGGTGTGAATCATAAAACATTAGTAGACCTAGCCCAGAAACATTTTGGTCAAATGAAGGGGCCGTTCTATGATGAAATTCCGCCACTATTGCAGCCGTGCCGTTACACAGGATCCGAAATTAGAGTCCGTGACGATAGTATCCCTCTTGCGCATGTTGCTATCGCCGTTGAAGGGGCTGGCTGGACAGACCCAGATAACATTCCTCTCATGGTTGCGAATACCCTTGTAGGAGCATGGGATCGCAGTCAAGGAGGAGGTGTAAATAATATAAGTCGCCTGGCTGAAGCTTCCGCATTGGATGGGTTATGTCACAGTTATCAAAGTTTCAACACTTGCTATAAAGTACTTTCTACTAAATTATAACTAGAGCTATTTTATATAATTAACTTTGCAATTACTACACGTCAACAATTTATATTCTGTAGGATACAGGTCTTTGGGGTGTATACTTCGTCTGTGATCCAATGATGTGTGAGCACATCATGTATAACATACAACGTGAATGGATAAGATTATGCTTAACAGTAACTGACAAAGATGTGGACCGCGCGAAAAATATTCTTAAGACAAATATGCTTCTTCAATTGGATGGAACAACTGCAATTTGTGAAGACGTCGGTCGCCAGATGCTCTGTTATAACCGACGTATACCGCTTCACGAGCTTGAAGCTAGGATAGATGTACGTAATGCGTGATCTCGTCTTAACATTTGAGCATAGTATAGTTTTATGATATATAACATTTTTTTCAGAGCGTAACTGCTAAAAATATTCACGATGTCGGTATGAAATATATTTATGATCAGTGTCCAGTAGTCGCAGCAGTTGGACCGATTGAAAATTTGCCAGACTACACCCTGATCCGTGCAGATATGTACAGATTACGAGTGTAATTCATCGAAGAATTTAGAACGAGTTGCAAGTAACATCATTTCTAGCAAGGAACCTAAATTAAAATGAGACTATAAACTATCCGTGGCTATATTTAAAATTGGCCGCAGTATTGTTCGTTAATTCTGTACTATAGGAATTTTTACTCTTTGCTGTTTTATTTTATAGTCTTATTTTAATCACACTCAAAAGAT